GCGCAGGCACAAGCCTAAATGTCGGAACACCGCGGCTACTATGATGATCACAAAGAAATTTTGTTCATACGATTTTTAACTGCCTAAGGTTAGTAGAACTGGGAAAAGCTTCCTCTTGTAGATTGTACAAAATCTCGACACCCTCGGGACAAAGGTCGTATCGGCCAGTTCTGGATGTACGAAGTTTGACACGGTTAGGATGGGACGCCGAAGATCAAGATTTGAGGTGGAACGTCCATGCAGCCTACATTTTGAAGTAAATAAGAATTTTAAATTCCTCACAGGCGTATTGACAGAAAATTATATGCGTACTATATATCATGCCTTAATTGAGCCGCACCTAATGTATGGTGTATTAGCTTGGGGTGCAGCGTGTCCAGCGTATGTAAACGACATAGAAGTTTTTCAAAAAATGGTTTTGAAAGCTATTATTGGAAAACCAAAATTATATTCAACAAATGATTTGTATACCGAAACGAAATTATTTGATATCAAGCAAATTTCTTTTTTACGTAATATCGGCCATTATCACAAAGTTATTAGCAAAAAATCACACATTGCCATGATACTCGATATAAAGTACGGGTAAGAACTGTCTACAAGAGAGCATGAAGTGAACGACAGCCAGTTCCTAGTGGATACCCTGTAGAAAAACCTTCATAATCGAAAAATCCGACATGTTGTCAATTTTCAAGTGACGTAAAGCTCCTGCGGATTCCAAAAATGTGGCATGGAAATTATCGGAAAGTATGTCCGTTCAGTGATATGAATGATCGCTAAACGATTGTCCATGTCAAATAGTGTTTGATGATAGCGTGCAAATTCAAACTTCAACAATTTTTCTAAGGAAATGCCTCGTGGCGTATCAGCAGGAATCTAGTGACTAGGTGGTAAGATGCTAGAAATTACTCGTTTATCATTGAGATCACCTGTAACCTTTCTTTAGACGTGCATAATTCTCACATTTTCCGAATACCCAAGTGCGAAAAATATTTCTGAAGGCACCTCGTGGACGCTGGTCGGAGAAACCGCTAACCAGATGTCCGTATGCAAAAATTCCCTTAATTGTGTTTGCATATGACCTCGGAGATTTTGGGAACTCGTCTATAAATTACGTCCCCCTGCCCATTGAATTTATTGAATAAATGTGTGCGAGAATGTCGCGTCTCGTCCAAATCGCGCTTCTGCTGAGGATTTTTTGTTGCATCCATGCAGGGAGGCACTTAAAATTATATTAGATTTTTTTTGTATAGGTTAATTTGAAATTTCCGTTTCGGAAGAAAGGTGAGTCCTACAGGTATGTTACGGAATATTTATTGGAAAAAATACAACTATGAGAGACGAATTGACTCAATGTTTGAAATTAAACAGTTTGGTTGCAAAACCTACCGCATCAGATATTTCTCAAACGTTTTATGGAGACCAAGAGTTAATATAAGATTTGAAACTCAGAATATGTCATTAGAGTAATTACAGGAGTCAAAGGCATTCAACGTTGCAGGGACATATTTGTCAGATCTGTAATAAAAACACTTCACGGCTCATACATTTATGAGCTTTTAATTTATTTGAAATCCGATTATGTGACATTCACGGCACTGAGCAGCCAATGACCGTACGTGAAGAGGAACTCTTTAGTTCTGCAAATCCCTGCACACACAACCAAAGAGTCAGTCAGTCAGCAAATATTTCAGCTATTTTAACTATTTTTGTTTTACTTGTTTATGCATTTTAACTATTTATTCCCATTTTCAAACTGCTTCTGTCACACTGTATTTTGTTGATTTGAACCTTTTTTTTAATGTAATGTATGTATGGATTCTTGGAAAAGATCATTGTCAAGTCTGCAGTAACATTCAGTATGGAATTCAACGGTGACCTTGATTTTGACCTTGACCTTCACCTCCAAGGTTAATTTACGATCAACTTTTTTTTTTCAAATAGAAAGCTCTGTTTTTGATGCCAGCACACGAAAGAACAGAAATTTTACGTTCAGACACAAGTCCAAGATCAGAATGATTACTAAAGGTCAAATGTGTATTGCAAGGAAAATACAAATTTCACAGGATAAGTGATGAAAATACGTATCAAGGTCAGGTTTGTAGTAAATTTTGACGAGTGATCTTGAGTAAAAATGCAGCGTAATTTCAAGGACAATTTTTCCTTCAAATAGAAACCCGCAGGAATAGTATCAGTTAAAAATCATATGTAACGAGCACCGTGGTTCCCTCGTTAAAACTTACCCAAAGATCTGACCTTGTCAGTTATTTTCGTCACTATCCGTGCGAGTTTCCTAGAAGCACGTATTTGGCCTTTATGTGACCTACAGTGGTCACCTTGACCTTGAATTTTAATGCACATTTGAACATAAAATTTCAAGCACTCTGGCTTAACGGCATCAAATAGGTGCTTCTATTTGGAAAAATAGAGTTGACCTTGAAATTTTCTTGAAGGTGAGGTTCAAGATCAAATCCTACTTGTGAAGATTTACTAAAGATCTGACCTTACCAGTTATCTTCGTCACGATCTCTGAGAGATTTCCAGGAGTTTTTCTATCAGAATATATTTGATCTTTATTTAACCTGTTTGACCTCCAGCGGCCATCTTGATCTTGAATTTCAGTACATATTCAAATGTAATATTTTTCTCTTATTTTATTAAGTTGACTTTGGGTAAGTTTTAACGAGGATACCCGATACTGTTCCTGCGGGTTTTTATTTGGAAAAAATAACCCGGAATGACCTTGGAGGTGAGGTTCAAGTTCAAACCCAGGATCACCTGTTAAAATTTACTAAAGAACTGACCTTGATTGTTTTTTCATCGCCAACACTGTAAGATTCATAGTCGTTTTCCTAGCAGCGTACACTTGACCTCCACTTGACCTTTATTGGTCACCATGACCTTGGACTTCAACTCGTACTTGGACGTAAAATGTTCGTCACTTTCGATTGACGATATCAAAAATAGGGATTTTCATTTAAAAAATGGACTTTACCTGAAATTCACCTTGAGGGTGAGGATCAAGGTCAAATCCAAGATCATCGTTCAGTACTTCGTTAAAATTTACAAAATATCTGACCTTGACAGTTGTTTGCATTGCCAATCCTACGAAGTTTTTCCTAGCAGCACTCATTTGACCTTTAGGTGACACCCTGACCTTGGACTTCAACTCGCGTTTGAACGAAAATTTTTCGCTCTTCCGGCGAGCAAGGCTAGGGATCTCTATTTAAAAAATAAAGTTGACACAGAGAAGACGGCAAAGGTAGAATCCAAGGTCAGCGTTTATTTCCTCGTTAAAATTTACTAAAGGCCTGATTTTGATAGCTAATCATTTAGTGAGATTTATAGAGGTTTTGACCTAGTTGTGCTTGAACGTAAAATTTTCTGTTGTTTCAAAAATAGGGGTTTCTATTTGAAAACTTAAAGTTGACCACGAACTAACCTGGATGGTAAATGTCTAGGTCAAATTGAGGGTCACCGTTGAATTCCTTGTTGAAAGTAACTAAAGACCTAGAACTTTCTCAAAAATACCTTACCCGAAAAAATACAGAGCCGTTCAGGAATTTCACTTAATTGCCATGTGATCATGACATGATCAATATCATTATTGAATGATCAACTGAATAAGTATCTATCTATCAATGGTTGTCACGCTGATCAATATCCAAGTTCTGCTGGCCACATCTGTGACTTAATTTGGCAGACAGCTAGACAGATAAGTGCTAAGAGTTATTAAACAGGTAAAATATTAATTATTGTATTTTCGTACTACCCTGTCTAATTTATATGAATATCCTCTACTCAAATATCAACACGGTAAACGGTGTACAGCATATGGTGTTTCATTTTACCATCCATAACCTTGAATTCATCAAGTGGTTTAGACATAATGTTTTATGAAAAGTTTATTTTTGTTTTGTTTCTTCTAATTTTCATTTGATATCAACACTGTGGACGAAAATGCAACTACATTCACCCCAAGATTTCTTAAAACTTTGATACTCTTCCCAAGAGAATAAGTTTGTCATAAATAACATTAATAAAGTGCCTAGTACAATTTTTATAGGTTATAGGTCATGCACCTAATGCAAAACACTAGAATTAAATTCATTCCCTCTCGCCATAATCTAGTATTTGGCTGTACACTTCAAAATCTTATGATACTGACCTCTGCCGTATCGGCGTTTGGTAACAGAATAAATAAATAAACCTATAAATAACGCCAACCCAGCGGCGCGATGGTGTCACAATGGCCATGAAATTGTTATTTGCCTACCTGACCGCTATGGGCCTTATTTATAGGTGGACAGGGATGACCCAGCCGTGACAATCATTTATCCATGGACGTCTTGATTCCTCTTCAGAGCGTCGCGCGATGTTTGGGTCACATACGTTAACCTGACGAGATTAGAGTCTGTTCTATTGATGTTTTATGATTCCATTGTTATGGTTTATTATCCCTCTTAAATAAAGAGTTGGGAGCGGTCGCAAATACAAAAGGTGCTATGAAAGTTTTGCAATACAGCTTTATTTATTGACTTCGTTCAAAGTAATTTCCACCACATTCGATAAATACACTTCTCCATCCCCAAAATCAGTCCTTAACCTACCGTCTCAAGATTAGAGATTTAAAATTTCCGGAAAAATTGAGCAAAAATAGGAAAAATACGGAAAAACTGAAATTTGTTATATACAAGATAAAAGTATTCTGGTTACTGATTTTCCATTAATATAAATCAAACAGAAATAATTTGAATCAAAACCGCAAGCTACGGCTCTGAAGGATTAGCTCTCGGTAAATACCCGTCGATTTTCGGTGAATCCCCGACCACTACAGCTTTCGGTTAATTCCCGACCACGCACAGCGACACGGGATTTCGGTAAATCCCCGAATTCCTGAATTGTTCAGTTGAGAATGAGATTCTTCAATATTGACACGTCTTGTTTATTTTAAAGCACGCATTTTAATTTAGACTTATCATAAGCGCAGTAAATGAATAATACAAAGTGAAATTTTGCTGTAATAATTGAGCGTGTTTGTTCTGAAGATTGTTAGTGTTGTTGACCCAAGTGTTTGTTTTGGTTTCTGGTAAGTGAATATTTTATTAAATTTGGAATAGCTTTAAGTGTTTTGAAGGTGGGATTTCAGTTTCCTTGCATATTTTCCTTACTTTTCTTTATTACTAATATCAATATTCAGTAATAATAATTATTATCTGTATACTGATTAAATTACAAGAATTTGATCAGTTGATAAAGTGAAGCAAGATATTTTATTTATGTATTTTTTTCTTGTTGCAGGACAATATGGTTCGACCTTCATCAGATATTTGGCAATCATTTGATATTGAAAAAACAGATAAAAAATCCAAGGCTATATGTAGGTTTTGCTGTTTTAAATCGGCCTTTCCAAACGCAACTCGCATGACGAATCATATATTAAACCAATGTTCAAAATGTCCTTTGGAAATTAAACAAAAAAATGGCAAAAGATACCAGTCTCCCTTCAACTAGCAAAAAGGACACGTCATCAATGTCATCATCTTCGGAATCTCCATTACCATCAGTAAAACGCAAGAAAGCTAGCTGCCAACAAACATTGAGCGGGTTTTTCGATAAGATAGCTGATTCAGGGTCTTCTAAAATTGATGAGGCATTAGCTAGGGCTCTTTATGCTTCTGGTGCTCCTTTTTCTCTTTTCAAAAATAAATATTGGGAACAGGTTTTTAAAATGTTAAGACCGTCATACCAAATACCTAGCCCTTACGCCCTGTCAACAAACTTAGTTAATTCCGAGTATGAACGTGTACAGATAAACCGAAGTCAATAGCTTTCTGAATCCGATAGTTTATCAATAGTAACAGATAGTTGAACAAATATAGTCGGAGATGGATTAATCAATATTGTTATATGCACGCCTATACCTTTATTTTACAAAACTGTTCATCGTGGCTTTGCAAAAGAAACGGGAGCGTATATAAGTAATGAACTTATCAAAGTTATTCAAGAAATAGGGCCACACATTTTTTTTTAATAGTGACTGAATGCGAGCAATATGAAAGCTGCTTGGCATATTATAAATACAACATATCCTCATATATCTTGTATTGGTTGTGCAGCTTACACTCTGAATTTGCTACTAAAGGACTTTATGAAAGAAAATTTGTTTGAAAAAATAAGTAGAGTCTAAAAAAATTTGTAAATGATTTAAACAGCACCACATACTTTATGCTGCATTTAAAGAAGCACAGGCCGAAAAATACCCAAAAAATAAAGTAATTTCCCTTCAAATTACCTGCAAAACTAAGATGGGGTTCTCTGTTTATAACTGTTGATTCGCTTTCAAGAAATAAGGAAGCTCTGCAATGTACTGTATTAGTGGAAAACCTGAATGTAAAACAAAATACTAAAAAAGTTGTATTGGATGATGCGTTTTGGCAAAACCTACAACATACTAAACAAATCCTGCATCCTGTATCAAAATCGATAAATTTAGTAGAATCGGATAGATCTATATTATCAGAAGTGCCTTTTGTCTTTAAGTATATAAAAGACACAATATTAGATATTCCCCAACAAGTTGACCTGACTAGTTCTCTTATCGAAAGCTTGCTAAAATATATTGAAGAACGCTACGAATTTTGTTCTAAGCCGATTCACTTTGCAGCAAATCTTCTTGATGCTCGCTTTAAAGGAGAACAATTGAATGAAGACCAACTAATGGAAGCAATAGACTTCATTTCTGAAATGGCTCGTTCACTAAATCTAGATGTAGGGAAGGTGGTGGCAAATCTAGCCCAATTTAAAACAAAAACTGGATTTTTTAGTCGAAATTCTTTATGAGATAGTGCGAATAGTACTCATCCCGTTATATGGTGGCAAGGTTTGTGTACATCGCAGCCACTTGTGCCAATTGCCTCCAGAATTTTAAATGGACCGTCATCTTCCGCCTCTTCAGAAAGAAACTGGTCTTTACACGGCCACATACATACAAGCAAAATAAATAGATTATCACAGGATAAAATTCAGAAGCTGGTTGCTATTCATTCTAATTTGGTTACAAACGAAAAACAGACATCATCATTTACGATGCTAGACCAGTTCCACTTTTAGAAGACACTGGCAAAGATTGTGCTGTTTTGTCCGTCCATGAAGACGAAGCGGAGATCGAGTCTGAATCAGATGCTTGGTTTGGAGATTCAATAATGTGTTTTCTACCTTTGAAGCTTTGTTTTTGATACTTTCAATTATTAGATAATAATTATAATTTGACCCTATATACATGTATGTATTTATATCTTAGATATTAATAGATATTATTGAAGTATGTTTTTTGTATTTATTTTCATAAAATATATTTTAAAAACTTTAAAATTGGTACCTATATTTTACGTTTCAAGTCACAGTTAAAAAATATTTAAATTATCCCATTTTTTCCAATTTTTCCCGTGGTTTGGAAAAAACGGAAAAAACGTGTTTTTTCCTAATTTTTCCCGTTTTTTTCCGATATGCGATTTGCTTATTGAAAAATTACTGACATCTATAGCTGCAACAGTAGGATTGTGGAGACGCTATTAATATCATAACTTATCCCCCCATTAAGCTGTTCAATCCATGCATGAGTCAAATAATGTTCCTACTGCCCTCGAGATAGCCAAAGTCGTTCCAATTTTCAGACATGGATCCGATGATCAAATATCGACCCACTGGTCCTGCACATTAGATGGTTGGTAAACAAAACCTTCTCACATCAATTCTTAAAAAATAAAAATTTTTTTTCGAGGCTTCGCGAGTCCATGCAGATCGTTTTCCAAGATCCTTCGTGTGTTTTCTAACTTTGAACATAGTTACACTTTTTTTCTAAGAACGGTGACTATTTTTTCATTTATTTTTGTTTACCTTTTCGATGTTGCTTGCGCACAAATTAGCTTTGTCCCAACTGTCAGCACACTCTGTATGATGACATTGCCAGAACCACATGATGATGTCGTTCTATGAATTGATTGGTTCCACTCAAAAGAACACCTGAGACTGATTCGACAAGGTCCGCAACCCTTTTGAAACGAAAAAATACATTAAAATCCACCATGAAAAACCGACATCCTACAACCTCCAGAACGAGTGGGCTGAGAGAAACCGTTGCACCTGGAAACAAGTTGTATAGTATGCATACGATGTATATGTGTATGCATAGGACATGTGTACATTGTTTGGACCCGTTTTCGGTCTCGTAACAACGCTGATAATCAAAGCAGATATGAGGTTTGCATACAAATGGAACGGCTATACCGTAGAGGTTCATTTCTATACGTACCAAATAATTATTCAGATGAATTTCGAGATACTTTCAGAACGAGTTTCCTAGTAAGCGGATCAGAAAGCTCACGTGATAACAATGCAAATTCACAACATGAAAAAGCTTACTCTTTCGTCGTGTATGGATTTTTCTACACGCTAGAACGTCACAATTGTGTTCTTGGAAAAGTTGATGATACATGGAATATGTTGGGCATTGATTTTATAAAAGCTCTCATCGCGGCATCGTGAAGCGATCTAAGAAACAAGCTTTCAGAAAGTTCATATGAGAATTTAAATATGAGTGTCAGCGAATTATTGGTCCACCTGGCAAAACATAATTTTTGGTAGCATACACGTTTCCGTTGCTTTAGTTTGTGGCTTTTCTTTGACAGCAGTTTTCCATGTCCACAATTCTTGAGTGCAGGTTTCAGAAATACGGCTCCAGGAAATGGTAGAGATTCACGATCACTTTCTCTCAGTCTTTCTATTCTCGTATCCCATATGTCAAGTGTATGTTGTAATTAAGCTCTCTGGCCTGCATAGTAGGAAATCGGCGTACCAGAGTTAAATATTTGCAAGATAATCGGGAGTATGTACATACCGAATGATCTGGTGGCTGCTCAATTTGAACTCTTGAGATGAGAATGAGATAGGTAGAGAATTTCAAAATACGCGTCTTATATGCTAATTAATTTAAAATCGTCGATTGTAGAGGCGACTGCTGATTGAGCCTATAGACGAGACATCATCATCTAAACCTGACCCATCGCTAGCAGTTGATATGATTATTCATCGGTGCTTCACATACTTAGTGTGTAACCTGATTCATACAATAAGTTACAAAGAGGGACTAGCACTTCATTAGGTCAAAGAATTATTGTCTCAATATTGGTCTTTGAGGATGAACTATTTATGAGCTTAAAGCTCTGTCTTAAGGGTCTAAGTCTACGTTTTATCAAATTTTGATGCTCTTATTAGATCACATACCTCTTGTAAAAACGATCGAGTTATTTAATCCATGGTCACTACCGGTACTTTTCGTCAACTTCTGCTATTTCTGGTAGTTAACCCATCTACCACATTCGAATAGACGGCTAGAAGGAACCTCCTCATCGTTGCTCAGATTGCATACTCTCTTTCCTATGCTCTTCATGTAACTGTTAAAAAAAACATGTCATGTGAAGAATTGTACAGTACAGTATCCGCACTGCTTCCTTGTCGAACTAGATTTTGATATCTGGGATCATCCTTCTGGTCTTCGCGGAACTACCAGCTATATTTAATCTCTTCCGCCATCTGACAAAAAGCACCTCTCTTTCGTCGCGTCTAGATTTGGCGCCCTTTTGTAGCATCTGACCTCATTGGCGGGATACCAGCTACCACTTCGCTGGCTTTGAGCATTGCTAGTTGTTTTCATCGCAGGTAGTATCTGAAACTTCATCGTAGAGCATGTTCCAAAGCAACGGCCTTACGACGGAGCCCTGCGGCACTTATATGGTTACTTTCTTCGTCCTTCCAACTAAGATAACTTCCTATCATGTTTCATAGATAGCTAGGGGTGCCTCGCTTTTCAAGAAATTCGATGGTTTTCTGTCATTGTGCCATGTTGAAGGCATTCTTAACATCAAAGACACTCTACTTTATATCAGTCCTTCTAGTAGCTTTCCAAGCAAACCTGGCACACACGGAGGTCTATGTTTCATTTCCCCATCCTTGGAGTTCAGAGGCTCGAATACCAAAGTCAGCAATCGGAAACACTGCGGTTCCCAAGCATTCATCCATCACAGGCATCACGATTTCATTTGAAATTCAGTCTGGTCCTGTTTCCAAGTTCGTTACAGCTTTTTCCAGCTCACCTATGCTGAACTCTAGCATATCCAAAACCGGCCCTTTTCTCAGTTAACCGGGATCCCAAGGTTGTCCTCCCACCGAGTACTGATTTGTACTGTAGTTCATAAGAGATTCCAGCTCATTGAGTCTTTCTGAGTAAGCCTCTATTGCTATGTTTGGAGAAATATACTAAGTGACATATAAATGGTTTTATTTTAATAAAAGTTGGTGAATGTATTTATCTTACTGTAAATAACAAGTGAAAAATTTTTCAGCCTTATCAGTTGGACATTCCGGTTTTTATACTGCTTTTTTTTAATTCACTAACGCTCTAAAAATGAATATTTCAGCCGCAGTAAAGAATCAACGTTGGCGGATTTTGGTTCTTGACATCCTTTACGATCGGTTACGATGCCTAGAGTACGGAGACCTGTACGATTTCGTCAACTTAGTGAGTTTGATTGGGGCCGTATA